TATGACTGATTTTCAGGAATGAACACTCATACATTGAATGTTATTTTTTGTAACTTTGTCATTTTGAATGACACATATACTAAATGAATTAATGTCAGTTTGGGGATGTTGGGTATTCCTGCTCCCAGCAGAGAGAATTTCTAGTGTTGATATACCATGTTAGGTCATCTGAAGCCTTAACAAGCTTAGTTGGTCCAGAATGCTGCAGCCAGAGTCCTTACAAGAACCAGAAAGTTCGACCATATCAGCCCAGTTTTATCAACCTTACACTGGTTGCCAGTTAAATTTCACATTGATTATAAAATTCTCTTACTGACTTATAAAGCTCTAAACGGACTCGCCCCTCAGTACCTGAGTGAACTTCTCTCTCACTATGAACCATCACGCCTACTTAGATCACAAGGTGCTGGCTTACTATTAGTACCCAAAATTAATAAAGTTACGTCAGGGGGGGAGAGCTTTCTCATACAAAGCCCCCCGGCTTTGGAATAGTCTTCCTGTTAATGTTCGGGACTCAGACACAGCCTCAGTGTTTAAGTCTAGGCTAAAACTTACTTGTATAGTCAAGCCTTTGGTAATTAGTTTTCCCTGTCAGTTCTATATCTGCCAGAGTCTCTGCTAACACTGTAATTTGTGATCGGTCACCCATTACAGAACTGACTCTGTGTGTTTTCCTTTCTTTTCTTAGCCGAGTTGAACAAGCTACCCATCCTGTGCGTTCTGATGCTGCTGCCTTTTCTGCCTTGATCGGGTGCCACTGCTCGCCAGCCCTCTGGACCGGCTTACCAACATTGAGCCTCCTGCTGTACAACGCCGTGCAAACCTCACCCTCACAACCTGACCCACTGATACTACTGCTGTTGCTGCATGAACTAATCAAAATTATTCACTTGAACCAATCATTCAAACTAATTCAAATTAATCAATCACCCATTGCAGAACTGACTCTGTGTGTTTTTCCTCTCTTTCCTTTGCCGAGTTGAACAGCTGCCCATCCTGATGCTGATGCTGTTGCCTCTTCTGCCTTGATCGGGTGCCACTGCTCGCCGTGCAAACCTCACCCCCACAACCTGACCCCATTGATGCTGCATAAACTAAACTATTCAAATTAATTGTTTCCTCCACCTTTTACCCTGTTTTTGTACTATAATACTTTATACTAACAATGTTTACTATCCGGTGTCGACCAGAGGAGGATGGGTTCCCCTTCTGAGTCCTGGTTCCTCTCAAGGTTTCTTCCTGTTTCTCTTAGGGAGTTTTTCCTTGCCACTGTCGCCACTGGCGACGCTCATGATGGCTCGGACCCGGATTTCTTTTTGTAATGCTCATTTCCTTGTAAAGCTGCTTTGTGACAACACCTGTTGTAAAAAGCGCTATATAAATAAACTTTACTTACTTACTTACTACTATATTGGGAATACATATGGAGATTACAGAAATTTTCTCTGAATTACAGAAATGATCATCTGAAGTTCAATTTTGTAAATGCAGTATTCAGAAAACCATCAGCTTTAACGTTTTTAATGAATACTTTTAAAATACTTACTATATATATAAATACTAAATATAAGAAATGTGCATGTGTGCACAAGCAGCAGTGCTAGTCTCCTTATAAGGGACAGATATCCAACTACGCCACTCTCAGTTAAAAGATGAGGGCAACCTTTGAGTTAAAAATATATACAAAACAGACTATTAAACACTAACACCATTTATTCTTTCCCACACGAGGTCGGTTCAAATAAATGAACATCAGATGACAGATGTACAACAGGATAACAAAAACAAAACAAATTAAAGCTTATTTGTAATCAAGTTCCACCATTGAAGTCTTAATCATACTTATATGGCTAGTACAATGGCTTGATTCCCAAGCGTTAAAGAACACCCACTGGATTTAACGCAAAGCATTCCACCTTAAGTGACACCTCAAAAACAAGCAACCAGCAAATTCCAGGACCATGAATAAAAGAACAAATAAAGCAAACAGTCAGGCAATATAAAACAAAGCAATGAAAAAACAGAAGAAAAAGCACAAACAGTGGCTAGTGCTTAGCTATCACATGCTCCTGTGTAGTAAACTGCCCCTATAACTGCAGCAGCTATTTACTACCTGGATAGTGTCCATGAACTGTCATGAAGATTTAAACTCTGGTTGGAGTCATCTGACAACAGTAAGAAGGTTTCAACTGAGCACCACTCAGGTTAAAGTTGGGAACAACACTGGTTATCCGAGGCGTTTCCTGGCCTTCCACTAGCTCTCAGGATTCAAATGGCAGAGATACTGGTCAGGGCAACTGCAACCTTTCTGAGATGAAATTTATTTCCACTTCCAAGCAGGCACACCAGTCTCACACAACAGAGGAACACGTTTTCCCCATGCACGCACACACGAGTTACAAACTCAAGTGAGCCACAGGTGAGCTTAACAAAGAAGCAGTGAAACCACGTTAGTTCATAAGAGCTGCCATGCCGTTGTAGAAAGGAGAATTACCATTCTGCAATGTCTTCCAGGTTTCTCAAACACCAGAGGGCGCTTCCAAGTGAGTCCAAAATGAATGGGTTGATATGGAGCATTTGAACAAAATTATTGTTTATAAATGCTTAAACATTTTTAATGTAAAAGAATGCATCCATTTCCTGAAAACAGAACAGCTTTTAAACTTGAGCTATAGGAGTTTAAAATTGCAACCCATGTATGTCCATCAGTGAGCGCGAACAGCCAATGAGCTGTGCCGCTTACCAATCAATCAGCACTCACTAGCAGTAATGCCCGCCTTCTGCTGCCCAGAACATGTTTGCTGTAGAAAAAAGGAAATATATAGGTAAGATTTCTTTGTTTTTTTAGTGAAATACTTCTACTTTATAACATTAAAGAAAAGTTCTGGGCGAGTGATTAGAAACTATTTTAACTTTTAGTTTTTTAGCCGTTGAGCGCCATTTACTCCCATTCATTGAGGACTCCCTTGTGGGCGCCCTCTGCTTTTTAGCAGTCCTGTTTTAGATATATAACAGGGGAATAGGAAGTGGCCAGGCTCCTCATAAATCAGCTCTACCTTTGGGTCCTACTGTCCCTCAGTTAGCTGTAGTGCTGCCGGGTCTTACTGCTGTTCTATCAGCCACAGCTGCTGGGTCCTAGTGCCGTACAGTTCACCTACCGCTCCCCAATCCTCTTAGCTCCCACCAGTTACGTACATAACCCTAAATGTATTTAGGAACTTAGAGAAACACCATCAATGTTTAAAATCAGCGCATATTATGTAAAGACATACTCTATTGAACAATTTAAAAACGGCTTCTTTACAAATACTGTTTTCACTTCTATACTTTTTAGATTTTGTTACTGTGATATGGTGAATTGTTTGTTTAGTTCATCAGATGGCAGTGGGACTATGGGAGCAGCAGTGAGCTGAAGCAGGCTGAGGCTGATTGAGCCAAAATAATGTTAATGTTTTGTCCTTATTTAACTGAAGGAAATGATGTGCCCATACATTCGCACAGAGAGTCTGTTAGACTGTAATCATCTGGTGAGAGAGTCAGGTATAGTTGTGTATCATCTACATAACTATGGTAATCATTGTTGTCATTCTGTTGGAGTGATGGGGTAAAAAGCAAAAAGAAGGCTGTTCTTCCATCCAGAATAGAATGTTGGAAAGCTCCTCATTATTTCAAAGACAGCCATTTTAACACTGATTTGCTCTCTATGTTCTTGATAATGGAATCACCCACGATTAGTGTTCAATGCAGTGTTAGTGTCAGCCAAGAACAGTGGTGGACAGTAATGAAGTAAATGTAATTTGTTACTGTACTTAAGTAGTTTTTTAATGTATCTGTACTTTACTGAAGTATTTCCATTTTTGGTGGCTTTACTTTCACTCCACTACATTTTTCCACACGCACTTTGTTTTGAGCTTGTTCTGACCTGTTGGACACAATAACCCGGTGCAAGCATACGGTTCAACGTCAGTGCAGCAGCGTAAAGTTTTGGGAGTAGTTATGCCAACATAAATGATGGTAGAAACTCCTGACTCTAACCTAACTTTGTGTAAATAGACCACAATATAGAAATATGTACACATATGCCAGTCACAACTGCATGTTTCTTTTTTCTGAATTTATACAAACACTTTCATTTTATAGTAAATTAATTTTGGCTTGTTTATGAACATGAGACCCACAGATGCAATATATTACAGGAACACTCATTTGGGAACCTGTGTTAGCTTGCTTGTAAAGCAAGATTTTATTAAATTTAACCTTGTTTAAATGTAAACTAATTTTTATTTAAACTTCAGAGCCACTTGTTTCTACCTAATGGAAATTGTTTGCCTTCAGTGTTTTGTGCTTTTGATAATTTTAATAGACAGCGTCAGACTAATTAATGACATTTTATTAAAATATTGTTTTTCCAAGAATGACACTAGAGTAGTTGATAAAGCAAGAGTTCTAAAAATGATAATAGGACATTAGAGCCATAATTAATCTTTTAGTACTTTCACTTTTGATACTTAAGTACATTTGAAGGCAAATACACTTTGTACTTTTACTCAAGTGGAGGTTTAAAGGGAGAAACTTCTACTTTTACTGGAGTAATTTTATACCTTTTTTTTTTTTTACCGAGCTGGCAGGGGGCCACAGATGAAAGCATCAATTTTATATTTGCTGATGAAGTTCATAAGTTCACAGAAATCCCTTTTCAGAATTTCAGTGGTTTCTTGAATATCATTTCCTACAAGTATAACAATGCAATTTACCAATCGGTGATCCGCAAAAATTTTGGGGAGTTTGTCTTTGATGTCTGCGACCATAGCACTCGGGAGGCAGCGGGTAGTGAAGTTCTGGTTGGCTACGTGTCTGACTATCGAATCCACCACTGTCAGTGTGCTCGTGCGGTTTCATATGCAAGTATATTCAAATCTTTGCTGGTCAAAAAACAATAAAAAAAATCTGCTTTTGGCCACATAATGCTCTTGACCTTTCTATATATAACAAGCTCAAACCTTGTAACTTGAAAAAAGAATATAAACTTCTGAAAATAAAAAGCCAAATGAAAGATAGCATAGCTAAGCAAAAAAGCATCTGAATAGCACTGTGCAGTCTTAATACAGATCAAAAAGATTTTTTATTCTTTATTGATAAAGATTCAGATGTGTTTATTCTTTGTTAATAAAAAATTGAGTAGGTTTTCTTTATTAAGGGAGGGAGAGAGGGAGGGAGGGAGAGAGGGAGGGAGAAGAATAAAGAGCCAAGCACACTGTCACATGTTTGTCAAAACATCCGTCACTGCATCAGAAACAGTACACTAGCTTAGATCTACTGAATTAGAAAGTTAAGAGCTTCTTATTATTGAATGTGGAGCTTCTCGGTTTGTTTTCCACAGCATGAGCAGTGTGAACGTTTTGGGGAAAACATGCAGTACCACACCTTCTCATTGGGTGTATGAGCTTTAGGCTTGACTTGATGTTCAGCACAGGACATAACATTTCACTAAAGAGTTGGTTTTCCCCCAAAATAGACTGAAATCTGGCCTGGAATCAGTGCAGACCTTTACACCCGGGATGTGTAAGGTTACACTCACTACTGCTGATATTCTCCACAGCTTTTAGTGCACTTGTGTGTCTTTGCAGTGTTTGAATGCCTGAAATTTTTCCCACAATCTGAGCAGTGATACGGTTTCTCTCCTGTGTGGATGCGCTGGTGTCTTTTGAGAGTACCCAGTTGAGTAAAACTCTTCCCACAGTCTGAGCAGTGATACAGTTTCTCTCTTGTGTGAATCCACTGGTGTCTTTTGAGATGACTCAGTACAGTGAAACACTTCCCACACTTTGAGCAGTGATACAGCTTCTCTTCTGTGTGAATGCGCTGGTGTATTTTGAGAGTACCCAGTTGAGTAAAAGTCTTCCCACACTCTGAGCAGTGATACGGTTTCTCTCCTGTGTGAATGCGCTGGTGTGCTTTGAGACTACGCTGTTCAGTAAAACTCTTCCCACACTCTGAGCAGTGCTGCAGCTTCTCTCCTGTGTGAATGCGCTGGTGTATTTTGAGAGTACCCAGTTGAGTAAAACTCTTCCCACAGTCTGAGCAGTGATACGGTTTCTCTCCTGTGTGAATCGACTGGTGTCTTTTGAGATTACTGAGTACAGTGAAACACTTCCCACACTCTGAGCAGTGATACGGTTTCTCTCCTGTGTGAATCGACTGGTGTCTTTTGAGATAACTCAGTACAGTGAAACACTTCCCACACTCTGAGCAGTGATACGGTTTCTCTCCTGTGTGAATGCGCTGGTGTCTTTTGAGATGACTCAGTACAGTGAAACACTTCCCACACTCTGAGCAGTAATACGGTTTCTCTCCTGTGTGAATGCGCTGGTGTATTTTAAGAGAACTCAGTAAAGTAAAACTCTTCCCACAGTCTGAGCAGTGATACGGCTTCTCTCTTGTGTGAATCCGCTGGTGTCTTTTGAGAATACTCAGTACAGTGAAACACTTCCCACACTCTGAGCAGTGATACTGCTTCTCTCCTGTGTGAATGCGCTGGTGTATTTTAAGAGCACTCGGTACAGTAAAAGTCTTCCCACACTCTGAGCAGTGATACGGTTTCTCTCCTGTGTGAATGCGCTGGTGTGCTTTGAGACTACGCTGTTCAGTAAAACTCTTCCCACACTCTGAGCAGTGATGCAGCTTCTCTCCTGTGTGAATGCGCTGGTGTATTTTGAGAGTACCCAGTTGAGTAAAACTCTTCCCACACTCTGAGCAGTGATACAGTTTCTCTCTTGTGTGAATCCACTGGTGTCTTTTGAGATGACTCAGTACAGTGAAACACTTCCCACACTTTGAGCAGTGATACGGCTTCTCTCCTGTGTGAATGCGCTGGTGTATTTTGAGATGACTCAGTACAGTGAAACACTTCCCACACTTTGAGCAGTGATAGAGCTTCTCTCCTGTGTGAATGCGCTGGTGTACTTTGAGAGTACCCAGTTGAGTAAAACTCTTCCCACAGTCTGAGCAGTGATACGGTTTCTCTCCTGTGTGAATCGACTGGTGTCTTTTGAGATTACTGAGTACAGTGAAACACTTCCCACACTCTGAGCAGTGATACGGTTTCTCTCCTGTGTGAATCGACTGGTGTCTTTTGAGATAACTCAGTACAGTGAAACACTTCCCACACTCTGAGCAGTGATACGGTTTCTCTCCTGTGTGAATGCGCTGGTGTCTTTTGAGATGACTCAGTACAGTGAAACACTTCCCACACTCTGAGCAGTGAAATGGCTTCTCTCCTGTGTGGATGCGCTGGTGTCTTTTGAGAGTAGCCAGTTGAGTAAAACTCTTCCCACAGTCTGAGCAGTGATACGGTTTCTCTCCTGTGTGGATGCGCTGGTGTCTTTTGAGAGTACCCAGTTCAGTAAAACTCTTCCCACACTCTGAGCAGTGATGCAGCTTCTCTCCTGTGTGAATGCGCTGGTGTCTTTTGAGATGACTCAGTACAGTAAAACTCTTTCCACACTCCAAACCATAGTGATTTCTCTCCTTGCTGTGTTTCTGTGTTTGTCTGTGAGATGTCTTCATGTGGAGGGTACCAGATGAAATTTGCTGAGTATGTTTTCTTGATGCCATATTCTTTTATCTCGCCTGTTTCAGCAGCTTAACTTTCCTCTTGGTGGAATGTCCTGATGTGTTTACAGAAGCACATTCAAACTGAGTAGAAAAGTGTAGGAGATTTCTTGAAACAGGCTATCATTCATTTCTGCAAGAAGAAAAAAAAAAGGAAAATATAAACTCAATTTGCAATGCAACAAAACTAGTCAAATTCAAATCAACAATTACCTCAACTGGCAGAAAGTGTAAAGAAAGAATAAACTTCCATCTGATGTGGAAAAGCCAATAACTTAATAACTCAAACTCCTTAAATATACATATAGACCTCTGAAGCCATGTTGCTATGCCGATATTGGAAATTGCAGGGCTAAACTGGATTTCTCCTTGGCTAAAATGACTTGGATCATTCAAAAACCACCACCATTTCATTCTGTCATCAAATTTGCAGATGACACCAAAATGGTGGGCCGGATCTCCAATGACAATGAGGAGGCCTACAGAGAGGAGGTCAGCTTCCTGACACACTGGTACCAGGAGAGCAACTTCTCTCTCAATGTCAACAAGACCAAGGAGCTCATAGTGGACTTCAGGAAACAAGAGAAAGTGCACACCCCCATCTCTATCAATAGAGCCACTGTAGAGAGGGTCAGCAACTTCATGTTCCTCGGTGTTCACATCTCAGAGGAACTGACATGGACCAAACACACCACAACAGGTGGTAAAGAAGCCACAATAGCACCTCTTCTACCTCAGGCAGCTGAGGAGGTTTGGCATGAATCCCTGCATCCTCAGAACATTTTACACACGTACAGTGAAGAGCATTTTAACAGGCTCCACCACCACCTGGATTTGGTTCCCAAACCTCCTGGAAGAACACCAGAAGGATTCTAATAAACTCCACCCACCCAAGCCACTCTTTATTCTCACAGCTGCCAAGTGGGAGAAAAAACAGAAGCATAAGGTCCAGGACCAGCCAGTTCCAAGGCAGCTTCTTTCCCCGGGCCATCAGGCTGCCGAACAGCCAGTAGTGCTGGTGCATCAGTCTATGAGCCTGTCACTACACGTCTCTCCATGGACAATCCACACTGCATCCACACCTCAAACAGACTCAATTTGATCTCACTGTAACTACAGTCTAGCAAATCTATGCTTGCACATATAGATGCACATCTACTCATATCTTGCATAATCTGGATATGTACATATCAGTATTCTATCAGTATTGAGAACTTCCCCGTTGTGGGACTAATAAAGGATCATCTTATCCCCTGTGTACTCTGCATCTCATTTATCTACGTCAGACTCATAAATTGAATACATGGAAATGTGTAAAACTGTACATATCACAGCTTTTTATTTCATAACTATATTACTTTGCATAACTGTACATTGGAAATAGTGCAATTGTGGTGTTTCAGCTTCAGTTTCTTTAAGCCCATCTCTCTTTCATTTCTGAGACTAGTAGTTTTTCACATGAAGCCTACATCCTCTCCCAGCGATATCATCCCCACTTCTCTCTTGATAGAAATACTCAACACATTAGTTCCCAGTTTGTTATTCATAATCAATATCTCCCTATCTTCTGGCACTGTTCATACTCATTTCAAGCATGCTGCTGTCCAGGCTTTACTTAAAAAGCACAATTTTGAGATTTGGTAGGCCTCAATGGGACAGTGCTGAGCTGGTTTAAGTCCTATCTTTGTAATAGAACTTTTACAGTACGCATTGGTAATTTCCATTCCTCTACTTCTACCATCAGTTGTGGAGTTCCTCAAAGATCCATTTTAGGTCCAGTGCTGTTTTCATTATACATGCTTCTACTTGGAAAGATCATTAGAAAGTATGATATTAGCTAGATTGCTTAGCCAACTAAATTCAGTTTGCTAACTAAATTCAGTTTTTTGCTTTGTTATTTAAGCCTGGGTGAATATCCACCACACTACCACTCCCCGCTTTAGGGGACAAAAACTCTTTTCCTTTATTTTACTGCTATTTACAGTCACAATTTATGATGGTGTAGATATTGTAGAACATATTACAAGTAGTGGTGAAGCTGTGTACTCCACCCACCTCTTAGCTATACCCTCCAAACACCCAACCTACCCAAGTGAAGAAACGATAGGTGGTGACGAAAAGGAAGAGGGGAAAAAGAAAAAAGAGGGGAAAAAAATGAATAACACAATCATTCAAGGAAACCGACCCTTAGGTTCTACAATATATTAAGAGATAATTCCTCGTCCCACACTCTCTCTGTGAAAACATTAGAAACACATGTATAAGTTCACTTACGTCATTGTCATAGTATGTAAAACGTTGGGGAAAAGCTCTTAATATATTGTACAAAGTGAGGGCAGGTTTCCTCGAATGATTTAGTGTTACTTAATTATTTAGATCTGCTCTGAGTCGGTCCAGGTTGGCGTGATCCGTAAGGAGGTTGAGCCGGTGCTTTATGGAGATTTGGGTTCTGTCTTTCCAGTTCAGTAGAACACTTTTCAGCAATGGTGAGTGACATTAACATAAAGGGTTTAAGATATTTGGGAATTGTTAATGAGACATTAAAGAGGAATTCAGAGAGGTTTGGTGTGAAATGGTTCAGATTTCTTTACAGTGGTCGCCATGACTACAACACAAATATAGCCATTTTATTTACTATTCAAAACCACCAGTGAACCTACACGTGTCTTCTGAGCTTTTACATAGAATGCTGATGATGCTAAAATAGTGGAAAATCTGAAATATGAGCTTTCTTTTTCTTAGGGGACTAAAATTCATAGGACACTATTTTGGCTAACAATACCCTGCATGTTCCACTCTTTTTACCTCAAACACCAATGAAGCTGTATTTAATTGTGCTGAAGTACTGTTTACTGTTAAGACCACAAAGATTTGCAGGAAGAATGACTTCAGCATCCATATGACTACCCACTCAATCACATCTCAGCTAGACTATCAAGCTCTTGAACAGCTCTCACACAGACTACACCTTACATAGGATGGTTGTTGTCAAAAAAGGAAACGGAACACATTGTCCTTTTTTAAAATGATCTCATCTATCTGGAACTAAGAGAGGAAGGGAGAGGAAGAGACAGGGGCCCATTCCCTATGGGACCTTGACCCTTGGACCTTTGGACCCGGGCCCCCTAACTTAAACATTCCAAACCTGCAAAGTCAGATAACACATGGAACTCCGAATACTACAACCTCCTCTAGAACAAACTACTATTTATTCTCTACATTCATACATATAATGGACTCTTTGGTATTTGATGATCAATTTGGTAGACTTTGTTTATATTTAGCTACACTAGCTAGATTCCATTGTTAACAGCTGCTACTATCCCAAACTGTTATCTGGCTCACATAAAGCAGCTGCCTGAAGCACATTTACCTGGGATTTTTGTACTCATGTCTATAAAAGGCTGATGCTCCAGACAATAAACCACCAATGATATAATTTCTCTGACACCAGCTCAATACAAACGCCTAACCAAAGTGTAAAGTCTACTTGTATTTAAGTTTACCTTATTAATTAATTTAACATTATTCACAATTTACTGAAAGAACATCTGAAAGTCAATACATGCGATTCATGCCATTATAAAAAAAAACACCATGTATCTGTAATGGAGAGGATCAGGTTCAACCTTAAAAAGACTCACTACAACCAGAACAAATTACTAGTTTGGTTGAGTCATTTGCTACAGGATAAACACTAATTTTAAGATTCTACTAAGCAGTGAAAGATTAATCCATATCCTACAAATAAATACAAAAAGAATAATCACTTAATTACATGATTAACCGCTGCAGCCAGTGTATAAACCCACTTTAAACTTTGTGTATTCTTATAAAAACACCTCCATATCATACACAGAAAGGGAAAAGCCACATCTGCTGCTCCTCAGACATACAGCCCATTTACAAACCACCATCTGAGACACCCAAACACACACAAATTAAGATATTTACATTAACTATCTGAATATTTCAGACAGTAGACATTAATAAACAAAGCGTGAAGACACACATACGTTCCCCCAAACCCGATCACAGCAGCTCCTCCTCTAAATCACTGCAGGATGAGCAGCATTTCCATCAATGAGGCTCTAACAGACATTTAAAGACCCTCATCAGTCAGTTACACCGACATATAAGGACTGAAACCAGCTTAAAGCAGCACTTACAGCTCTTTAATCTCAGACTGAGTCTCCGTTTCAGAGTCTCCCCCAAACACACCGCGCTGTGTGGAGACTACAACAACAGCGAGCGGAGTCCGACCACAACCGGAAGTGTATTTTTCAAAATAAAAGTTTCTAGCGCTCAACACGTTTTACATTAAACAAGCGTCACCACACATGTAGGAGTCTCTCAGACTGTGGGTCTGAAATGCTTTTTATCCTATTTCATTCACATTAATGAAGGATGGGCATAGTTTTAACTGCCCAGTGTGTAAACAATTCACTGTGTCAACATAAACCCACACTGAAATGAAATCACCAGACCCTCCTCTGTCTGGAAACATGGAGTTTTATACCAAACAAGCGTCACCACACATGTAGGAGTACAATGGGTGTGACATTCCTTATAGCCTATTGTTTTATTTTAATAAAAGATGGACATAGTTTGTGTGTTGTTTGTTTCTTCACTGTTATTATTAATTTGTCAGTTTGTAAATATTTTTTGTTTAGTTGTGTGTGAAAAAATGTGTTCATTAAAAAGTAATTGTTGAAAACTGTTGGTGACTGTTTAAAAGTCCTAGGTATGCTATGGGGGTGAAGTAGTGATGGTACACTCTGTATACTCAGCACTCCATACATACCCTATTTACTATATCAGTTTATATACTTTCTAAATATTACATAACATCTGATACATACTGTTTAATATCTTACAATTTTCTACTACAAAAATAAGCAAATAAATAAAATGTCAAAAATATGGAGATTATTGACCAAACAATAAAATTATGAATCAAATAATTATAATAAAGAATTATGAGAATCTTTATATAGTTAAACATCATTATATTAAATTTATTAAAACAAGCATTAAAACAAAGATCTTTTTCCTATATAATATAAGTTATAGTTTGCAAAAATACTAATTGTTCACCTTGTAAAAGAAATAGCAGTTGAAAATCAGATGAAAAAATGTGAAAATTCATATCCATACAATAAATATTAAAACACCTTAACTGTAGTGTGAGAACTTTTTGTCTAGCACATACCCTGATAGCAAGAGGACAGTGGACCACTGTAGGCCTGCTGATTAGCTGGTGGTCCACTGGCGTTTTGCTCAGCGTTTTCTAGGTGGTCCACTGGCAATTAAGCGGAGTATTTTAGAGTATAAAATTTCACTTATCATCACTCCTTTTCTACTCTTGGTCCAATTTACTTATTTTTCCTTCCTTCCTGTCTTTAGTTATACTTTACAAATTAGTTTAGTAAATAATTTTACTGTAGCTCAGTGTCAGCAACAACATTTACTATAAAATCATTTTACAGGCCTCATCAGTATTTTTGTCTCTCAGTTGTTTGTAAAATTTTTCTAAAATAGTAGTTTTTTTCTTTAGTTTTTTCTAAAATAAAAGTCTCTGCGCATTTAAAATCTGTTTGAGGAGAATAAAAACTAGTTAGAGCTTATATGCAGGACAGTAATCCGGGTGGTCCGAGGGTGAACCAGCAGTAGCAAACAGTCAGTGGGTTGCTGACCTTATCAAGCCAGCGGACTGATATATGCTCGCTGTTTGGGTATTCTCATGGCTGATTTCCATACGTTTTAAATGTCTACTGAGACAGCATAGAAATATCAGGGCGTGCAGTTATTTGATTTTATGAAAATCTCTTTAAACCAGTGGGGCTTAGCTCCACTCCTGGTGGGTGGAGTCCATCACAGTTTGGAAATGTCATCTATTGCTTAGCTGAATTCTGTTACAGCAAGAAAGTTACCAAACAGGGCTGGACTAAAACCGGGATTGGAGTTGAACACCCCTCACATTACACTCTTCTATTTCATGTCATCTAAAATGTGTCAAGATACAACTGATTTAGTTTAAATATGAGTTGAAAATGTGTAGATGACACTATAAGCCACAGCTATACAGTTAATTCAAGGAGTTTTAAATAATAAAGCTTTTGATGGAGAAGTTCATACAACAAATGGATTTAGTGGATTTTTGCAAAATGGATTTTGCAAAACGGATTTAGTGGAACATTGAATAACACTGCCTTTGTAAAGAAGCACACATAAAGACCCCAGTCGCCACCACACATTTGCCTCCAAAAATGAGGGCACTTGTGATAAAATTCGTATTGTAAAGACACGTCTATAATTGTTCCATGTAATGCCAAATATTGGACAACCATATTTTTTTGTATTTTAGGAAGAACTTTCAGACTTTCATGTTCATATGACTTTAATGAGCCTAAGATTTTTAGTCTTTAGTCTTTTTTTTTGTCTAACAAATTTTGTGTCATATTGAAAACAGCAGTAACTCAGTGTACAGAGCCTATATTACCTGGAATAACTACAATGTTATCTCCACCAGTGTCTTTTGAGTTTTGGATCATCTGGCAGAATTTCTATGTTTTCACAGCATGAGTTGCAAAGCTGTTGATCTGCAGATGTGGATCGGCACATCAACACCTCTTTTTCCTTTACCTTTTCTTCTAAAAGAGGAAGATAAGTATCTATAATTCTGTTCCTTAGACATCTTCCACTTTTATCAACTCTAACTCCTCTTCAAATGCATTTTTTTGAAGATCATAATGGTTCATCTGAACGTTTGTAAGGGTTGGTTATCTCACATGGCTCTGTACATTCATGTTTTGTCTCCTGCCATTTTAATGTTAATTCTCCTGTCTTTGCACTTACTGAAAATATGAAACTGTTAGAAAAAGTACAAAAATAAAAGATGAAAAAAGTAAAGATAAAGTGCAACCCAGTATTTCTGAGGACACTTTAAAGTGTAATCTGTCTGACTTTGCAAATTTTTGTGTCGACATCCCAAATTCCACTACTTTTACTTCCTCTGAGGAGGAGTGGCATAACCTACATACAGAACAAAGGGGTGATATTTAAAACCCTATCACCTCGGGTGTTTTCTATGAAAAACACAAAGAATCCATACTGCATACGGATGTCCAAGAACCACTTATTTAGCACATCTCACAAAGTGAAAAGAAAGTGGAAACTGTGCAAATTATCTGTATAACATATTAAAAAGCTCTCAGAGCTGAAAGAGTCCATAGAACTACAGTATGAGTAAGAGTGGCTAAACGTTTGTAGGCTGAATAGGTGGAAGCACATAAATTAGTTGGTCCTCATGACATCACAGAAATTATGTTTTTAAAATAAGATTTTTTAAGTTTAGTATCCATATGTGGACTGTATGGACTGGAGAGTGAATGATACATTTTGAAACTTTAGCAATGTTTACATTTTACTTCAAAGTCTTTTTTAAACTCCTATTTAAAAAAAAAAAAAGTGCAGGAAATGTGATTTTCCATGGTAAGGGCCCTTTAAATCAAGTGTACTGCTGATGGAATTTAAAAAACAATCCATGCGATGGCATCCAGGAGAAATCCACAACCAAACTTTGTTCTTCCAACTAGCAAACAAGGCATCAACTACAGTTTAAAAAATAAGAAATTAGTGTTTACTGTATTTATGTTTATTTGTGTCTGTTCTAATGATATATGGTGTTTTTACAAGGAAAATATCCCACAATGGGGAAATTCACAGTGCTACTAAAGCATTAAAGGGTTAGCAAGGCACTCAAGAAATGAAGTAACAAGAAGAGAATTAACAAGCAAGTCATATATAAAAGCATGACTTGACTAGAAACTCTTACGTTGAAAAATACCTTTCCCGTTGTAGTCTCCACACAGCGCGGTGTGTTTGGGGGGAGACTCAGTCTGAGATTAAAGAGCTGTAAGTGCTGCTTTAAGCTGGTTTCAGTCCTTATATATCGGTGTAACTGACTAATAAAGGTCTTTAAATGTCTGTTAGAGCCTCATTGATGGAAATGCTGCTCATCCTGCAGTGATTTAGAGGAGGAGCTGCTGTGACCGGGTTTGGGGAACTTATGTGTGTCTTCACGCTTTGTTTATTCATGTCTACCGTCTGAAATATTCAGATAGTTAATGTAAATATCTTAATTTGTGTGTGTTTGGGTGTCTCAGATGGTGGTTTGTAAATGGGCTGTATGTCTGAGGAGCAGCAGATTTGGCTTTTCCCTTTCTGTGTATGATATGGAGGTGTTTTTATAAGAATACACAAAGCTTAAAGTGGGTTTATACACTGGCTGCGGCGGTTGATCATGTGATTAAGTGATTATTCTTTTTTTTTGTATTTGTAGGATATGGATTAATCAGTCACTGCTTAGTAGAATCTTAAAATTAGTGTTTATCCTGTAACAAATGACTCAACCAAACTAGTAATTTGTTCTGGTTGTAGTGAGTCTTTTTAAGGTTGAACCTGATCCTCTACATTACAGATCTATGTTTTTATAATGGCATGAATCACATATATTGACTTTCAGATGTTCTTTCAGTAAATTGTGAATAATGTGAACTTCACTGTATCTTGAGATCTTTTATTAATAAGGTAAACTTAAACACAAGTAGACTTTACACTAAGGTTAGGCGTTTATATCGAGCTGGTGTCAGAGAAATTATATCATTGTTGGTTTATTGTCTTTAGCATCAGCCTTTTAAAGACGCGAGTACAAAAATCTCAGGTTAATGTGATTCAGACAGCTGCTTTATGTCAGCCAGCAATGGCTGCCAGTTAGTGTAGCTAAATATAAACAATGTTTATCAAATTCATCAAATATCATAGAGTCTGTTATATGTAGATTTGTGGAGAGGAAATAGTTCTTTGTTATAAAACAATATGAAGTGCTTCCTGAGAGCTGTGAATGTCTGGGCGGGGGTGCAGCCCAATGGTTGGTAGATCTGGTAGGAGTGTCTGTAGTAGGTGTTTGAGGTGGTCTGTTTAGAGGGGGGTGTAGTGTGAGAGCTGTGAATGTGTGTGTGGGGGGTGCAGATGAGGGAAAGTATCAGATTGTGTATAGTGTGCACTCTCCAGGTCCTTGATCTTTCAATCTTTCTTCAGTGTGAGTGTGAATAGGGTGTGGTGGGGCGGGTAGTCCTATAATGAAGTCATTCTTGCTGTAGATCTTTGTGGTCTAAACAGTAAACAGTACTTCAGTACCAATAAATACAGATTCATTGGTGTTTGAGGTAAAAAGATGTTTTTTTATAGTTCATAGAGCTAAATGCT